ACAAACTTTCTCTATAAAATTACACTAGACACCATCTCACATGTTAAAGGCCACACCAGTATTTTGCATGTTTTACCCTAATTTAGTACAACTGCATATAGTTTGCAAGACTGCCAACCATTCTCCAAAGCACAACATATGTTTACATTTTTGAATGTTTTTTCTTAACTTATAGCAGCCTTCGTCTCCATTTATTGTAAGGGAATGGGTGTTTCAGCATTGCCTCTAATGCACACGTTTTATCTAGTTGTAGCCAATTACTCACTCCTGTAAAAGTGATATTTTACACGAGCTTGTCAATCTTGACAATGCAAAAAGCCAGAAGGGTACATATATAAAATACTTCAGTCTGTATTGAAATGTCCTTCAATACAGAAACATTACAACATAGTATTTTTAATTTACATCCTCTTTGATAATCAACACTAAGAAACATTTACTTACTACCATCATTAATGGAAACCTCATCCCCAGGATAAACTGTCATGGTGTTGTGACCCTGCTGCAGTAATGGCCCATGTTGAACCTGTACTGCTAGTGGACAATTGAGCAGTGCAGCCTTTAAAAATAATGATGCTTGCAGGGGAATTGATGCTGATATGACCCAAGATGCCATTCCATGAGAGAACAGAGGCGTTACCATCAAAGCTAGTCACTGTACAAACTCTCTCATATCTCATATCTTCCAACTAGCAACTTCATATCTATTCAAGTACAGCTTCCAACTTCTTTCTATCTCTCTATCAAGCATGCCCCCTGATCTCTGTGGGGTACACAGTCCACTGTTCTGACCACAATCATGCCAACCCCACGCTATCAAGAGCAGAAATGAATGAAGTCCTTGTTTAACACTCAGACACATCCCTTCTGTTGTTCTGTATATTTCATGCATGTGTGTATGCAGCTCGTATGTAGCTATAGATTCACTTCAGTTTTTTTCCATTTATTACATTGAGTCTGGGTCAACAAGGTTTATACAGAGGATATGACCTGTTGGATGTATAGTATGGTTTGAAGAAGCACAGACAAATACAGCAAACCTGGTATTGGGTTAATGTTCTAGCGGTTGTTGCCACTTTGGGGTTTCATAACCTTCTGAACACCAAAAACTCATGGGTGGCAGGTATTGCTAGGTTTTGCACTCTTAGCCTGAATCCAGCTTTGATCTTGATGTCTTTTTTTGCAAAAAACATTTTTACTATTGGTGGGAAATGATATTAGATGTGCTTGATCATAATGAAACATAACATTTTAAATAAAAAATCTAAAGTGAGCCCAGTGTTTTCTCTGTTTGGCTGAGATAGTGATGAACAGATGGTTCAGCATCACTTGAACAAGACTTACTTACTTACTTTGTCACTTCCTTACGCAACACCATGTCACCATGCCAACTCACCTGGAATAATTTCAAAGGGGTGGCGGCCAGGCTCATCCTGATTGGCAGGCAGCTCATTGACCTGACTGCCCTGAAGAGGAATACAACCCTGTAGGAGAAAGAACATGTAGGCTTGAGACAGACAGAAACACAGACTGACAGACAGGCAGGTATGAGGAAAATACCTGTATCAAAAGTATTCAAGGTCCAAACAAAAAATCAATTAGTGGTTCAGGACTTGGACATGTAGTCCGCGTTAAACATTATAGAGTACAGTGAGATCTGGGCATCTATCCAACAGAGGGAGGTAATGATGATGGAGGGAGGGATGACTCAGGGAAACATCTCTTCATCTATTTATCCCTTTGGCGCTTCCTGATGTTCTTGGCTTTTGGATCTTTCCAGCATAGAGAAGGCCAAAGGTCACCTCTTAAGTGCTTACAGCAGAAGCACAGGGCAGGTAGTTACAACATTATCAGTGTGTGTGTCAGGACAATAACAACATACTACAACTTAAATTGAGAGTGTGGGTATGTCTTAATAGAGGATGATTTATGTGTGAAAGATGAATGGATATTTATCCTGATATATTTTGACACCAAAATTATTAGGATAAGAGCAAGATAATGTAGCTTTAAAAACCATGGCCACACAATGCAAAACGGTGCTTCATTTTCCTTGAGGGCTTGTATTTTGTTGTCTGATTTAAAAGGGTCAATAAGCGATTTTCAAAGTTGGAGAACACACAATGGATTGACTGGCCCTGGGGGAAAATACTTATCAGATGAATTCATGGAGCTTGAATATGTATCAGGCTCCAAACCAAAATGAATTGAAACAAACAGTAGTGCAGACTCCTGGGGAAACAGGAGACATCAGGTAACTATACATATATATGTGTTACTTTTTAAGTGTCACCTGTGCCTTGGTTTCATCCTGGTCCTTGTAGAAATACAGAGCTTCAGTCCTCAGGACAAACCAACGCAGCTGCCAGTTTTTCATGATACTCCGCTGTCTCTTAAGCCAGCCTGCCTTCAGTGCTTTCTCCTGATCCAGAGGAGAGCAGGGCCTGGAGACCCGGGACAACTCACCAAGCACCATGCTCTTGGACCGTGCTGCATGGACACACACATACAGATAAAGTGAGGGAAAGGAGGCTTGGAGGATTAAGAGCATGGTAATGAGTGAGACAGAGAGATATACCGAGTTACATAAAGACAGAGGATACATTTTATTTTGGGATTTTCTTTCTCTGTTGTTATGCTATTATTCTAAAAATATACCCAGAGACAGTCTTCCTTGGGTACTGTTAAGCCCATAGGCCTGACCATGCATCCAGACTTCTTCTTATGTAAATCTACCAAGACATGACCTCCATTTTGCAGCAAATATATCCCGCTTTAAGATGAATTCTATCTATCTATTCTATTACATTTTATTATGTGTTTCAGATATTAATGAGGGAAATTATTATTTCCAATTTCATCACTGTACAGAAAGCAGTTCTGCTTTGGATCAGGTTGCGCTTTAACTGCTACAGACTGATTACAAGCAAGGATTCTATATTAGCATAGGCATGCCAAAGGTATAGAGCAGAAACAGTGACACAATGCCTAGGGAGTCAGGGAGTCAGAGAAAGATAAACAGAAGGCAGAGGGAGAGGATAGAGAAATCAATGGCGTCTTTTTTTCCTGTTAATTGCATCTTGTTTTCTGCTGAGAACAGCAGGGAAGGTATATGCAAGGGCCTGGACTGAAATCTCTCTCCTGTTTCCTCTGTCTCTCTCTTGCTTATCAGCTCTCTGTCTGGACATTTCATTTCTCCCCTTTCTGGATGTCCTTCATTTGCAGAGTCATGATTGAAAGGAGAAGACTGGAGATGAAGCAGTCATTAGCAAAACTGTATGCTCACAGCAGAAGCAGGCAGAGCAGGGTCTATAAATACAGCAGACATGGCTGCGCATTGTACTTTAAAAAAGAGACCGGAAATCTCAGAGAGGAACCGGTTTGTTAATCTACTGTCAGCAAAGAAATATTAATTTTTACAATTAGTGCACAAGGATCAAATTGATATCTTTTCAGAAAATAATGTTACTTTAAGTGCATCCCCTCATATTTAAAACAATTATATATTCACTCGTATGTTATTATTATGTTCCTAATGATAAGTGATAATAAACAGTTGTTTGAAGTGAGCTAATTCTCATTTACTTTTAGGTATTTTAATCTATAACAGTGCATCATATTTTATAAACTGATCATGTTTTGTGCATAAAATCTTAATTTGTAAATATACTTGTAACTACAGCTGTAAAAAAATAGTGGAGTAAAAAGTACAATTCCCTTTGAAATATAGTGGAAGTATGAAGTCAAGTCAATTCATTTTTATTTAAATAGCCCAATATTACAAATCACAATTTGCCTCAGGGTGCTTTACAAGTAAACAAGTAAAAGTCCTCAAACACCAATAACATCTTGCTTTAAGATTCTAGACTAATTGACTGCCTTAAGATTCTGGTCTTATCTACGGCTCTGAGTGCGGATCCAGCTCTGTGATGCTGTATGAATTTGCCCTGGATGATGCTGCATAAAAGGGTCAGAGGAGGAGCAGAGCTGGGAATCTAATCAAAGGAGAATACCATTACAGCAAATGAGAGATGGCAAGCGCACAAAACGTGGCAAGCAAACTGAAGTGGCTGCTGTACTCCAACTGTGTTTGTGAAGGAGAAAGAAGAGGCACTTCTTCATCCCATCCTGTTGTATAGTCTTACTTTTACGGCTGGTCAAGAATAAGACAACGCCTGCCAGGGGAGAAACAAGGCACCAACCCTGCCTAAGCGCGCGCACGCACGCACGCACACAAAAGTAAGCATTCTTGAAGCTGCTGCTCGCCAAAATATCGCTCAGTTTTGTCCATTTTCTTACAAAAATGTGAAATTGATTCAAGGAGAATTTGAGGAAACTTATTTTCTGTCAAAGTGGAAAGCTTCTTAAACAGAAATCACGTGGATGTTCTTCTCTAAAAACCAATGCTCGTCCATTTCTTGGTGATAAGTTGGCAACTGTCACAACTCCCCAAACCACCTGAAACAACATGTGTCGATTGCTACAAAGAGCACAGCAAGTATTTATACTCTGCATCATGATAATCTTAGTGCCCTGAGATAGTCCTGTGATGTACAGCTTCCTTATTCATCTTCACACAGTCACATGAGAGGCATGTATATGTGGTGTCCTGACTTCAGTGGCCGCAAGTGGATTTTACCCTGTGTTAGAGGAACTGTTTGACAGTCAGCTGTTGTGATTCACAGGAGTAGAGAGCCCTGCATTCCTTTCACCAGCTCTGACCTATCTGTCACCTGCTCAAAGCCACCGTGCCTACTAACTATCCCAATAAACCCTGAGCAGATAGACATGAAGTTATGTCTTCAGGTGTGAACATGGCAGGATGCACACCATTGTTGGAGGGAGGATTATCTTTCCAGCAGCCATGTTTACTACAACCCACAGTGTCTCCATCAGAATCAAATCTTCTAGGAGCGAGGACAGTATAATCATGAGAAGCAAGAGATTACATTGTAGTAGAGCATGTTAACTCTCAGTGATTATTGGAGACAGAAGATAAAGCCTCAACACTTCAAAAACATTCCAAAAAAACTCAGGTTGGCACTGGTGCAGATTCAGTGCTAACATGGCGCTGTTACACCTTTTTGATGTCATTATCAATGATAGCACTGACAACAATACTGATGTTACATTATTACAAAGACAGCAGGACAGATGGAGCTCTGCAGAGGCAGCGAGAGAGGGAAAGAAAAAGATGGACTGCAGGGAGGACAGACACAGGCAAGGGAGCAAAGAATGAGAGAAAAGAGATGGGGCACAGAGGAGGGATGGAGAAAGGGGAGGAGGGACTGTGCTTACCCCGGCGTGCCTGTTTTATCTTGGGGCTCAGCATGGTTACCGTTGCTGTGCTGCTCCCTCTCACAGAGACATGACTGCATCCCTCTGTTCACACACTATTTCTCAAACACACACACACACACACACACACACACACACACACACACACACTCAGCGTCTCTCGCTGCTGCCTCGCCCTGTTACTCCTCATCCTCTCCGAGCATCTCTCTCCCCGGCTCACTATCTTGCACTTGGACACTGTCTCCGTCTGATTTCACACACACACACACACACACACACACACTTACAAGCACTTAACCACACACTCTCCTCTTCCTCCCCTCCTTCCTTTCGTCTCACTCCTCCTCTCTGTCCCACCGGCCCAGCGTACTGTTGTTCTCACATACCTCGAGCCCTGCCCACTCTCTCTCTCTCTCTCTCTCTCTCTCTCTCTCTCTCAGCCTTCTGCTGCACACTCTCAGTATCAATTTCTCACCGTCTATAAATATGTCCGGCAGTGTGTCCTCTGTCTTGTCACCCATTTCTTTACACCACCCATTTCTTTCCACCGCCATTCTACAGTCTTCACAATTCCTCCAGCTGTTTGCTCATGAAGATCTGATTATGGCCTTGTCTGTAGCTGAAGTACAACCTCAGATCAATACATTTGATTTAGCTGACACCATTCTTACCATTAAATGTTTAAATGTTTGGCCAAGTCATTGTACTGCCTGCACTTATGAACTGTTGCAGGTGGATGATAAATTTGGGTGGACGTGGGTTTAAAAGCTGTCAAAAATCCACTATAAAGCACTCGTATTTAGTATTCTGACTCCTTCAGACTAAGATTTATAATCTAAGGGGAAATACCACACTACTCAGTCACTCGGCAATCTGCCTGGTAGTGAATGTGATAAAGCAGATAAATGCTGCAGGTCAAGAGGCTGGATGAGACTAAAATGCAGCACAGAGGCACTGCTAGAAGGAAGAGCTGACTGAGCTTTCTCATAAGAAAAAATAACCATCTCGGTCAATGACAAACACTTTAAGCTGCCTTAATGGAGGCTTTATAAAGGCAGTAGCAGGTAGCAGTGCATTAGTAGTAACATAACCTTGGCAATGTAATTCTTTACTTGTATAAAAACAGTTCACACCCTGATAAACAGAGAAGATCTCACACAGATAGAAATGATAGAGAAAAGTTGTGGACCCAGGGTTCCATAAATATCAAAAAAATTTAAGCTTAACTTTATGTGAGAGCTCAGAAAGCCAGAAAGTTGTAGCTTAAGCAAAAAAAATAGATCATCACCTTCCCTGATACAATGATCACTGTTGCAAAACAAACTAAAAACTGAGCTTTACCTGCCAATTCCTTTGGTTTGTCACTGGTCAGAGGAATCCTGGATGGTTTCATGGCAGCAAACCCATCTGTACAGTGTATCCTTCTCCAATGAGGCCATTTCTAGAGCCACAACAGACACAAACACAACACACAGGCACACACAAGGGTAATAATGAAATCTCAGTCCTCTACGTAATTGATAATCACTAGGAACCAAATTCAATGACATTCACATACCCAAAGAGAAGGGACTACTATAGCTGCCATCATTAACACAGCAATGACGTGCACCTGAAGAATGCTGAAGTGAACAGATTCAGATAGAAGGAAGGAAACAAAGACAGTCATGCGTGTATTACTTGCCATGTCATCTTGGATGGGCAGACCAGACGACTCTCAGTCTGGAGCCAGACTCTCTGTCTGATAAGACTGGCATCACATACTCCCAAGCAGCTGCTGTGATAGGTGCTGCTTTACAGAGAAATAAAACACAGCTGTGCGACACGCTCCTGCTGTCCTCTTCTGAATTATCAGTCTGTCGCTCTCTAAGGAAGTGAGCCGCCTTGATGGAGAAGTGAAAACTGCTGATGTCTGTCTAAAAAAATATGAGTTTCTCTTTCAGATGTTATTACTGTACATTTTTGGCTCACAAAAGAGTACAATCCAGTGGCTTAGTGATTTCTCTATGTAAATCAAGAAAAAAGGTCGCAAGCTTTAAAAGCTCTGTTTCTCTCTAGCTACAAAGTGAGTTTAAAGAGAAAGAGAAATGTTTCTTTTTTAGAAATTACAGCTTTCAGTGAATTTTCTATTTATTAAACATTATTTTCACTACAGCTTAAAAACATCATGGCACAAATGAGGTTTCATTTTGGAAACCAAAAGAAACTGTCACCAAAGATAAAATACGTTATATGGGATATGGACAAATGGCAGCCAGTTAAATACAATAATACTGATTTAGGGACAGAGAAATACAGTAAAAGCTCTCAGTTTCAGCAGCTTATGTGCCACTCCATGTGCTTGACAGACACAGTACAGTAGAGAGTAAATAATATGACATGACACAGCCACTCACATAGTCCAGACACACCAGCCACTGAGGGTGTGGGGAACATCATCTATAATCTAGAAATATGGTCCGACGGGACACATAGGAAATGAGTGTGTTTAATTGAAGGCATGAAAAGAGAATGTCCCATTAGTGAGAGCAGAGGAAGTGTCGGGGCCCAAATGACCAGGGGCAGGTCAGAGAGGTAATGACATCAGAAAAATAGCCTCTCAGTGTACCCACTATTTACCATTATCAAATCACAGGACTTGCTAATGTTATGAGTGCACACATCTTCACAACCTTAAACGTTTCACCATGACACATTTTTTTATATTTAAAACAAAAATAACAATAACTTTAAGAAAGTATGCCGATGTAGGATATAAAAACAGGTGTGAATATGAGCGTTCCCTGCTAAAACACAGTTTGGAAAATATCCAGTACTTTACACAAAACAATGAAAACCAACAAGTTAATTAAAATACTATTTTATCTTAAAGTATTCAGTGAGGTCTCTAAAAACCAGGTGAACTTCTAACCTCTTAGTGGTAGTTATCCTGCTAGTCACTTTGTGGACAAATCTACTCTACAGTCTACTAAAATAGAATATGAAGATATATCCAAATTTTACATTCAAGTACAACATGTAATATGTTATTAGAGAGATACTAAATCTAAAGAGGACATTCTCACAAAGACTGTAAACTGAGAATGCATATTTGTAAGTGAGTGATGATGAAACAATTTCAAGACAGCTGGATACATGACAGATTTAAATGTCTATGGCAGTTTTGTCTTCTCTTTGGCCGCTGCCCACCCGTCTTCGCCCCTCCAGCAGAAAGGACAGCACTATCGCCCAGCGCTGTCCTAGTGACCTCTGTCGTGCTGAGCTTTCACACTGACGGAAGTAGTTGGTCGTTCCAGTGGCGACGGCATCAAACTGCTCAGTAAGTAGCCACACCTCCCAAAGGAGCGTCAGCGCATTCATAATCATCATTACCACAACCCAGAACTCCTGCCCTAACAATGTGAACCACAATGACAAGCTGCGACCGCCCGCAGGCATCTTGTCAAGCAGGTAATTTGTTGCAGTGGCAACAAAAAGAAGGTGGGCAATCACCATGGAAAGGATGAAAAAGAGGAAGAGGCGGTGGTTACCCCGGCCGATGCACCGGTTGAGGAAAAGGCAGTGGTGGTCATAGTCTTTAATGCACACATCGCACAGCTTGCAGTGTTTAGTGTAGTCGGGCAGAAACAACTATGAGGAAAGCAAAGACAGGGTGGGAAGGAGAGCAACACATTAGTAAGAACAAATCCCAATTTTTGTGTGATGTAACAATTAAAATATTAAAGATCTTTTACTTTGTCGCCAACCTTTTTCAAAAGCTTATCTTAAGTTTTGTGTTTTATTTCCTATCTGTCAGACATCTACTGCCTTTTAATTTCACTATGGGATAAAAACTTAATCTGTAGAGACTTAACGCACACATGATTGATTTATTGTGACATGCGAGACCTTAGCAGGGGTGTGTCAGAAACTTTTCGAAGGGGAAGACCATGTGAAGGCACACACCAAGAGGAGAAGGGCTGTGTGTGCATTTCTCTGAACCATGACCAGCGTGAATGTCTTACCTCACAGTACGGACAGAACCTGTGAGGGCTTTGGTTGTTCTCCACCAGGTCAGCGATACAGGAGAACCGAGGATCTGCATCTGCTCTGTCCAGTGTCCCCGGGTCCTGAGTCAAAATCTTACACAACAAACCGACGACTAGGGAGAAGTGGACCATCGACACCTGGACAAGAGCACTGGTTGGCCACACACATTCAAAATGTTAAGGATGACCACTCCAAAATCCTGGATTACACTTACTATTACATTTACTTACTGAGTATATTTGGACGAGCAAGACAACTAGGGGATTACTGGTCGGTTGACAATAAACACAAGACAGCTTGTGAAGTGTCCACAATGCAAATGTATTCAAAGAAAAAATGAGATAAAGACACACACACTATCTACATGTAGAGCTGAGAGGAGCAGGAAAAATGTTCCTAGAAACCAGCATCACAGAGAACCTGATATGGTCCTCTCACATACCCAAGCTGGTGAAGAAAGCTCAGAAATGGCTGTTTTTCTTAAGAACACTTAAGAAGGCAAAATTCTTGTCAACTTTTACAGAGGAGCAATAGAAAAAGCATCCTGACCGGAAACATCACCAACTGGCATGGGATGTGCATGGCCCAGGACAGGAGGGCTCTGCAGTGGGTGATTAAAACTTTTCAGAATATCATTGGTACACATCTACTGAGCATCAGTGATATCTGTGAGGTGAGGTGCCTGCGTAAAACCGAAAGGATACTAAAAGACAGTACCCACCCCAGCCACAGCCTGTTCACCCTGCTGCCATCTGGCAAGAGATACAGAAGTATTTCCAGCAGACTTCAGAACAGCTTCTTCTCCCAGGCTTTAGACTCTTAAAATAGTTTATATAGATTTATTTATATAATTTGCTTTGTAGCATAAAGGGAACTAAAAATTGCATCTCATTATACAAACCTGTTGTAATATGACAAATAAATGTACCTTGTAATGTGATGACCAAATATCACAGCATTATGCAAAAGTTTGATATTCTTTGGCCTTTGGTTGAGATATCCCTCTCTGAACCAAAGTGTTGGAGAGACCGACAGAGAATACAAAATATGCATTGAAATGACTTAATGTGTGCTTAATTTTGGTAAGGATATTAGGCATTATTTTTCCATAGAAGCAGAGCAAGGAATGGAACAAGCCAGCTATGAGGGTTCCCAAGTAGACCGGGTTGGGTAACCTGGAAGGAAGACAAATGCTATGTCAACAGAGAGCTATAACAAACAGTGAAATAGGTTGTAGGTCACATGTACAATAGTTTTTGTCAAACCTTTGGTACGTGGTCATGCGGTGGTACTGTGTGAAGATGCTTCTGGCCAGCCAGGGGAAGAGCAAACTGCAGGTTAGCCCCCCATAGCCTCCCAACATGGCTGCTATCAGCAGGATGGAAGCTCCACTCAGGGTTGGAAAAAACAGTGTCCAGTAATACAGAACTGATGAGAAAAGACAAGTCATGTAAATATAATATAAAAAGTGTGAAAAACTCAGCACATTAATGCACACGCACAATATGTTACAGTGCCGTTATTATCATCACCACTTTCATCATCATAATCATCATCCTTGTTTTCATCTACATGAAACTACATTTTCAAGTACAATTTACCATGAGACTCTCTGGGCTTGTGGTGTATTGGCTCATTAATATACCGACTCAGTAGCTTGGTGAGTTGCTGATGTCTAGAGAAAAATACACAGTATAGCAATGTATTAATCAGTGTCAGGATCCCAAGAGAAAAAAGTAATCTGGAAATGCGAACATACTGGATATTTAAAGGTACTGAGGGGTGTTACTATACCATGAAGTGGCCTGCTAGTCAGTGTTTTTCCAGAGATTCTGAGAGACAGCAGATTCACCTAAATGTTTTCCCTTGTTTACTGAGGTCCAGCGGTGTGAGGCCGCTGTGGTTCTTCTGGTAGAGCATCCTGCACCCTGTTCTCTGCAGCAGTGTCCAGCACACCTCCACTCCACCCCTTTCTGCAGCAACGTGAAGCGCTGTCGCACCCTGCTGGTCAACTGCATCCACAGCACATCTCTGAAACAAACAGAGGATTGAGGCGCTACCTCCAACAACATTGTGATTCCATACGTGTCTGGAGTATCAGAGAAACTCAGGAGGATTTTCAACAAACATAACATCCCTGTGATGCTGGTACACCCCAAAGACCGCACACCCAAACACAAGAAAAGCAATCTAGTGTATGCGGTCCAATGCAGTGAGGAATGCACAGACCTGTATATTGGGGAGACTAAACAACCACTACAAATGCATGGCTCAACACAGAAGGGCCAACTCCTCAGGTCAAGACTCAGTTTACTTACATCTGAAGGACAGAGGACACTCGTTTGAGGACCACCAGGTGCACATTTTAGACAGAGAAGATGGATGGTTTGAAAGAGGTGTCAAGGAAGCCATCTACACCAGGGTCGAGAAGCCATCATTGAACAGGGGAGGGGGTCTACGCCACCACTTACAATGCTGTCCTTTCATCACTTCCCATGAAACTCAACAATAGTAACCTATTGGCCTCAGGTGAAGATGCCAACGATGGTTGTTCAGTCTTGGCCACCGGGAGTCCCAATGACTGTAACGACTGTCGTTACAGCAACCAGGAACGAACCAGCAGTATCGATGACCCTGGCAAATGACCCCACTGAGGTTAAATAGCCGAGTCAGTTAGAACTGAAGAAGTCCTTTGGATGAGGGATGAAACCTCTTACAGTATCTTCAACCAAGTCCAGTTGCCCTTGACTTTAACCTTCGTTGGATAACTATGACCTGGATGACTGAGAATCTTCATAGACAATATAATGGAATACAATTTAACAGCACTACAAACTATGACCGTAGAGTTGCATCAACACCTCAAAGGCTTTATTACAGAGCAGTTTATAAGATTGTAGCTAATTCTGTAAAATGGAAACTCAGCTTACACCAGAATCACATTTTAATTTCTTTACAGCCACACTGAGCAATTTATGACCATGAGGGAGTGGAAAGACTTCGTTGTTATGGATTCAGCAACAATCGTTTCCCAAAGGAGATGTGTTCTAAAATGTAAGTACTAATGTTTAGCTTTTACCTCTGGTTAAAGCTACCAATGCCTGAGAAAATTTATTTTTTTGGATGTTTTCTTTTACCAGCCAGCTGTTTATGTCAGCTTTTAGCTATTGTATGTCGTGTTTACTACAGGTGTTAAGCTCTTCTAAGATTATTTGATGAAAATACAAACTGCCTACAGTTTTATATGAGCAGTTAATGAGACTGACACTTAACCACACTTTAAATGTGTGGGCTTGAGAACCAAAACAAGGAGGTAAAAGTGATTAAAAGCAGCTTAAATTTGAGTAAAGTGTATTGTTGTGTGTTAAGTCCATTTCCATGAAGCTTTAAAACTTTAAATTAAAGCTTGATCATACTGTTGCTCAACTAGAGCATGTGAGTGAGTGAGAGAGTGAAGACAATATCAAACCTGGTTTCTGAGCAAGTACCGGACCACCTCTGTGTTGCCTGTGGATGCAGCCAGGTGAAGGGGTGTCACCTGGTACATGTCTGTGTCTGAGAACCGGAACATTCCTGTCTCCCACAAATAGTGCACTGCAACACTGGGAAAGATCACTAACTGTCAGCAGTTTTAAAATACATGTGATCATGTGGTCACAAAAATACAAGACAAAAGACAACAACAATTAAGTTTGTGATGTGTTGTTTCCTCCACTCACATGTTGCCCCCCGTGACTGCATGATGCAGTGACGTTTTTCCTTGCAGGTCTATGAGGCGCAGATCAGCTCCATACTGCATCATTTGGTGTATAATATAGATGTTCCCTTGTCTGATGGGAGTCAAAAGTACAAACTGTTATGACACAGGAAAGCATAATGCTCACATCTTGACATTGTCACCTCAGGAATCCAGGCATGTTTGTTTAACACCTAAATATGCAACTTATGCTCACCTGCAGCCAAAATGAAAGGCTGTCTGTCCCGCATCACATGTCAGGTTAGGGTCAGCGCCATTACTAAGGAAAAGTTCGACCATGGCACGGTTACCATGGAGGGCGGCATAGTGGAGCGGGGTGAAACCACCCCAACCTGGTATGATGACAAACACGTCAGGTTTAAAGATGTAGCCCTTCTAACTGACCTGCAATATCTGTGACTAACAGTACAGGCCTGGTATAAATGCACGGCCTGTCAGCCTGTTGGCCGTTAAAACAATCTGGTGTCAGGGTTTGGGTTCCTTTTGGCACAATGTGACATTGTGCTGTGCTGTCACAGGATCTGTCCACCTAGATCTGTGCCATACCATCTCAGGGAGGACTGACAGCAGGGTATGGTTTCCCCTTTGGTACTGAGACAAAATCACATCAGGAGTCACTGGAGCATGATAAAGTTTAAGTTGGTCCTTTGAAAATAATAATGTAAAATTATAGTTGTTCAATGCTATACATTAGCCTGGTAACATGACAAAATGTGTAGACTACTACAGATTTATGTCATAGGTATAACAGGTTGGTCCTCTTGATAAACAATGTTCATCAGCAGCTTTCTGGCTTTATAATGAGCAGATCAGGAAAGCTTGGCAATTTTGTGTAGCGTTATACTGACGTATCACAGCAGGAAGTAGAGGCCAGATCAAGACACGCTCTTTTATTATACTGCATTCTATCTTACCTTTTTGCTTGAGGACTGATCGATCATTTTGAAGGAAGTGTATACACAGCTCAATATTTCCTCTCTGTATACAGTCAAATATGTCTCCACCGCTTTCGGAGAACACAGGCATCGGGTGCATTATGATGGGTGCACAGAAGCGGCCTGCTAATATTTCCACAGACAGAAACTGCAACGGAAACAAAATCAGATCCTCGGACGAAGTCGCTACAACATCATAACGTAAAGCGAGAAGGGAGATCGTCTTTCGCTGCAAAGTAACGGTCTTTCATTGTGCTAAAAGTGCTAAACTGATTGATGCAGACCACGCCCTGGACAGCTCGTTGGTTGCAGCAGGTCACATGACTGGTGATGTCACCGCGTCAACAAAACACTAGTCCCTAAAAGGAAGACCTTAAAACTTTATTGTGCAATTATAGTTTGTCATGCTCAGCCTAAATATATGCAGAAATGTAAACGCTTTAATTGCAGAGAACGTTTTAGTTTAAAAGAAATATTTGGAAAGCAAACAACTAATAGGAAAGGCATTAATGACGTTATTCGAAGAAAAATGCATCACGCCTAGTGATTATTTACATCTTAGACCTTCACATGCAGGTTCACCGTATTATTTTATAGGTTACTGCAACGTACAATACTTAAGGTGGAGGTAATAGTCTCCTGCAGTGTCCAGACACTGCGTGTTTGCGACACTGGCTGAAATGACAGTGCATTTTTGGCTCCGAGGGGATAACGACGCCGAAGTTAGCTTCTGATTCGGCAGTTAAGGGGAAAGTTAAGGGGAACGTAAGTGAAACTTAACTTAACATTGCTGAGCGACCGATTCTCCGTTTTTGCACCTATTACTGCTGTGAAAGCTGTTATGCATTTTAGGCAAAGCCTTAACTCTGTCTGAAACACTTTTTTAGATTTGAAAAAACTTTGAATGAAAAAAGGGCAATTTCACTGCTTGTTCACCCACATGCAGACCACATTAGACCAGGTCTAGATCCAAAACCACTATACCTAGAGCTCTCAAATCTGGACTAGATTGTCCCAGAGAGGCTAAAGTTTCAATCAAACATGGTTCCAATTTGTGAAACCTTTATTCAATTTGTGAAAATAATAAAAACAATTTATCTGCTTTTTTCAAGTGTAGACCACATCCTACAGTGTCCCAGAGAGGCTAAATTTCTTTAAAACACGGTTTTAGACTTGGGAAAAATGTATTCTGTTTGTTAAAATGAAAAAAGGGTGATAAGTCAATGCTTTTTTCATACAAAGCGACCTGGCCTTGCAGCTTTTCCACAACTCTCACTCTGATTGGTTAGTACTCCTTTCCTTTGTCAATCAGAGTCAGAGTAGGAGGCAGGATATGAGGCAAAATGTGTATTCTTCAAATGATATTTGTTGGATAAATGGTGGGGAAAACATGTAGTATATGTTGTGATTTTTTATTAAGTATTCCAGTTTTTAGCCTTTTCCTGTCTGCCAGAACCCTGTATCTGTTTAAACTGTTGTTGTCTTGTGTTATCCCTGTTGACATAGTAAACTTGTTTTAAGTCTCTGAGTCTGTCAAAGTCCAGAGCCATCAATATGCAAATAAATAAGAACATATTAAACACATAGTTAAACACTTAGGTATAAATGCATTTTGCATTTCTGAAACTGTGTTATAAAGAAACTTTAGTCTCTTTAGTATTCTGACTCTGATTGGCAAAGGAAAGGAGTACTAACCAATCAGAGTGAGAGTTGTGGAAAGGCTGCAAGGCCAGGTCACTTTTTGTGAAAAAAGCATTTACTTATCACCCTTTTTTCATTTTAACAAACAGAATAAATTTTTCCCAAATCTAAAACCGTGTTTTAAAGAAATTTAGCCTCTCTGGGACACTGTAGGATGTGGTCTACACTTGAAAAAAGCAGATAAATCGTTATTATTATTTTCACAAATTGAATAAAGGTTTCACAAATTGGAACCATGTTTGATTGAAACTTTAGCCTTTCTGGGACAATCTAGTCCAGATTTGAGAGCTCTAGGTATAGTGGTTTTAGATCTGGACCTGGTCTAATGTGGTCTGCATGTGGAGAAAAGCAATGAAATTGCCCTTTTTTCATTTTCACAAATAAAATAAAGTTTTTTCAAATCTAAAAATGTGTTTCAGACTGCCTTAAGGCTTTTCCTAATATGCATAACAGCTTTCACAGCAGTAAGAGGTGTTGTAGTCAAGACCGTCGAAATTGAGACCAAGACCAGAGTTTATCGAGACCGAGACAAGACCAAGACTTTCAGGGACTGAGAACAAGTCGAGACCAAGGGAGAGCGAGACTGAGTCAAGACCAAGACCAGTTCCCCACATTACATGACACACAATAAAAATGTGGAACGAGATCATACGTACTTCACAAATTGATCTGAAAGATCCACGTTCCCATTAAAACACCCACATAAAAACACTAAGAGCTGAAATCAACACAAGCATCATATTTAACACTCCTTTCCCATGCTCGCAGATAGGGGTGAAAGTCATTAACGGGAACAACACATTTTTAATCAGGGTAATTGGTTGCATTTAAAGCAGTATGTTTTACATCCAATCAAAGTTAGGATGTTAACAAATAAAAAAAAAAACAATTTATTGATATTATGGTCTTGAAATAAAATCTCGAGTCCTCAATGTCCGAGACCGAGACAAGACCGAGTGCAAATGTGGTCGAGTCCGAGATAGACCAAGACCATCAAAAAGCGGTCTTAAGACCGGTCTCGATTACTACAACACTAGTAAGATGCAAAAATTGGAGAATCGGTCGCTCAGCAACGTAAATTAGCTTTCACTTAAGTGGAAAGTTAAGGGGAACTTAACTGCCGAATCGGAAGCTAACTTCAGCGTCGTGAGGAGATACGCGTTGTATCCATTGCACGTGCTGTCAGCTCACAACTGTGGGTTAACACCGACGCAACAATACGACGATTTAAGATTAGCTACAAAACTCTAGCTGTCTAAATATGACGTGACAGTGACGCAGTCGGCTGGAGGAAACACCGAGCAGGCCTGCAGAGGGAAGAAAATAGCATGAAAATGGTGGTTAAATCGCCATATGGAGCTCGTGAGTATCCAGAAAGAGGGCTCTGACTTCAGCAGGTGATAGTGATTCCTGTGAGTGCTGGAGGTATTTATGTTCATAACGGCGGGTGGATGGTAATTTTTGAATGTTTTTTTTGTAATGAAAATAAGCAGACTCTTTGTCATTGTAGACATGACGTTTCATAAAAGTGAAGGTATAATTTCTCACATTCATAATGGCAGTTCGTTTAGTTGTAATTCCCAAATAAACAACGCCATTGAGTTAACATGCACCATTCACCATATATGCATCATTCATGTCATTAGTTACGCATGTGGTTTTCCTGCTGATCTGGCTAAAATAAGCAAAAGGTCCATGGTACATGATTGACTTCTGTTGGGACATTTTTAAAAAAAATATCTGGCTGCTGTCAGCATATGTCTGTACCATTAAAACCCACAAGATGGCGCTGTTTAGCTACATTTTGTTAGTGTTGCTTTTATGTCCAATAAAAACACAGCAGTTTCCCCAATCTCAATGCAGTTACACTAAAAAACCACACGACCCACTCATAATGAGCAAAGGGCCAACAAGTGAGCCAAAAAAAGTAACCCCCCCCCCCCAAATTCCAATATATTACGACTAAATTGATTGGTCTTCTGTTACAAAGTCTAACACAATCTGTTAGGATGTTTTCTGATGCGGTTAAAGGTTTGTTAACTAAACCTTTTACACACTGTTCAACACAATAAAATAGGCATGTCTTTCCAGTTATTATCTCTAAACACACAACATGCAGTTTAGTGGTGTTTAAAGGCTTCAAATTAGCCACATGAACCAGAAATTACAAGCTGTGTTTGCTGGCTTCTTTGGTGAATCATGAGATTCTGTCATTGTGATTAATAACATGCCAGTCTTACATGACTTGTCTATAAAAAGACAAGGGACTCTTCTTTGAGCTATGGTGGGAGGGCCCCATCTAACCAGCTAAACAACAGTTTTTTCACTTCTGCTTCTCTAAGGAAGTAAGAAGGCACATGACCTGGGCCAGCTGATGTGAGTCGCTCTGCTTGTTCAAAGTTCAGTCTACTTGGTGCAGATTAGTAAGGGGGCGGGTAGTTTTACAGAAAGGGTCTGCACAGTATAGGCACAATTCATATTTTAGCAGGTCTCTGCTTGTCTTTCCGCCTGTCATGGGAACAGAGACAGACAGACCACTCACTCAGTTGGAATAACCCAACATAGATGACAGAAACTCCCAGATGGCTTTCACACAAGCACAGGTAAGAATATATGGACACAACTTTGTGCTGCATGAATAATTTTCTTTTTGAAAGGCATATTGAAGTTGGCAGAAGTGTCACTATACCTGTGATCATATGCATTTTTCACTTTGACGTACTTGATTGAAGAGAAAGAGACCAACGCTTTCTTGCTGTTGGTCTCTCGCACACATTCTCACGTGAGATACATCAAAGTTATCATGAATTTCTATGGAATGTGAACTGCTTTTCCCTTTAATTTAGCAGTCTTTCTGTACCAATGTCTTTCATTGTTCATCGTGAGTGTGTGACTCAAAACAGAAAGTGCCCAAAATAAATCACTGTAATGAGGAAACGGTGCTCTAGTCAAGCATTAGTCTTGCATTTACATGTCTTCTTGGGAGTGGGACTCCTCATTCACACCTGGTGTGACAGTGAAGCGGAACACCCATATTAGCCGCCTCCTGTGTACTTGAAACTGTACAGGAATTATTTCACATGTACAGTGACTTTTGCAATATTAAGGACAACACCTACAGGTACAAAACATCCTAGGATTTTATCACCATCACCATCGCATCAAAATGTCCCGATTTGCCATTATTTATGTTCACCTTAAATTGTCAAATGTATTTTGCTTGTAATGGACAGGACTGTTTAGGTATTCCCAAACTTCTGCAGTTACTATTGGTGACTAAGTGTTAACACAAGTGGTGAATTTGAAGCTTGCTTCCAATTACTTAAAATTAGGCATCGGTGATACCATGTAGGTACCTCACAGAGGTTAATGACCAGTTAATGCAAATTGCACATGCCTGCCAGTGCTCTGTTCTTCTGTCTGGTCATTTCTCAATGCAGACAGTGTGCTCTGAGGGTAGGGGAGGAGGGCTGAAGGCTTGGGACAAATTTATTTGAGGAAGTGGGATGGACAAAGGAAGTATGATTAAAAGATAACTTGGATTTTACTAAACTCAGGATATATAAAGAAATAACAGTCTGAGGATTT